AAAAAAAAAAAAAAAAAAAAAACCTCAAGAGGGGCAGAGTGGCTATAGCATGTACAAGGCTGTGGGTCTGTCCCCAGCACTGAAAAAAAGGACAACTATGTATCTCCTTTAAGTATGGCTGCAGTTATTCATCAGTTTTTACTACTACTTTGCAAATGTGTTTAACATCTCATAAATTACAGATTATAGGTACTTCCTATTAAAAATCCTGAACACACAGTAATTTCCTTATACAACTAAATCTCATTTTATTGCAGTTTGCTACAATATGCTTGGCACAGACTGGTTTAAGATTCGTGGTAACCCTGAGCTGAACAAGTCTGACAACACTACTTGCTAACAACATATGCTTGGGTCTGGGTCACTTGTTATTTTTTTCTAACACATTTACTTAAAAAATATGTATCATGACTGCATACTTTACAAACTACCATGTAACATAAAAATAACTTTATATCCATTGGGAAACCAAAAATTTGTATGACTGCAATGGTGTGGAATGAAGCTTGAATATCTCTTGAGTTATAACTTCAAGAATTTAGACTGCTTCTTTATCTCAATTTTCATAACCTATACCATAGACATAATCTCAGATGTAGGAACTTACAGGTGGGGGAATACCACAGTTGGCTTCACAACATTAAATCATTATACCCGTAAAAACATTAAAATAACTGTTTATCTTTCCCTAAAGAACAAAGAGGCAAAAAAAAAAAAAAAAGGAACACAGAGGCTAATTTTTAACAGCAGATCATTCCCACACCCAACTCTTTTGAACTTTAACATAAGGACATACAAAAATTAAAATTTAGTCACTGTACTGAAATAGCTGTAGTAAGACAAAATCTTTTTTTTTCCCCTCAAGTAGCCTCTCTTTATGTATCTGCAGTAGAAACAGTACAGCACAGGGTAGGGGACATTGTGTGATAGGCTCCAAGACAAAAAAAAGAATGAAATGCCTACTCAGTGTTGGTATAAACTTATGGGGAAAGTTTTCATACTGTCCAACTCAGTTCAAGAGTGCAGGAAGACAGGTTTTTCAGTATATCCGTGGAGCCTGTTAGAGGCAAGACTAAAATGGGGGAGGACTAGCGGAAGGATGGAATCCTAACACTCAAAGCCTTAACGTTAACCATATACAGGAATATATGAGAAAAATATCAGCATATACAATAAGCCTGGATCCTAAAAGATATCTTATGCTCAGAATCCATTCTGAACAAGGAATTTTAAAAAAAGAGAACCACTCCTATCTCATTTTCTAAGATAAAATGTAATTATCCTAGCTACATTTACATTAGGGACACATTTCAAAGGTAAATTTGTGACTGACTTATGTCAATTTCTGCTTTAAAATGCCCCCTTCTACATTTTAATACTTTACATATTAATTTTTACAAGACTGTTACTATGTAACTCAATTTACCTGTGCTGCAAACTGTCTTGCTTCTTCTAGAGGAGCATCAGAAGAAAACTGATTTGTAAAGGAAGAGCCATCAGGCAGACGAAACTGGATTCTTGCAATGGTGCTATAAAAAAAGAAAATTAAACTTAGTACCTTTACATATTCTCAAACTATATCATTAAAAAAAAGGAAACCAAATCTGTGTGTGGCTGCCCATGCTGTAATCCCATCACTCAGGAGGCTGAAGCAAGAGGATCTTTGAGAGTTGCAACCAGCCTAGGCTACCAAGTCAGTCAAGGCCAGCCTGAATTGTATAGGAGACATCACAAAAAGATAACAGCTAGGCATGGTAGAGCACCACTCACTACTGTAATCCCTGCACTCTTCATTTACCTGCAGTAGAAGCAGTAAAGCAAAGGGAACACCCGTGTGGTAGGCTCCAAGACAAAGAAAGAATGAAATGACTACTTAGGATTGAGATCCCTGGTACTGAAAAAAAAAAAAAAAAAAAAAAAAAAAAAAAAAAAAGGATTGAGCAATACCACGTGTGAGTGCAGAGGAAGGAGGATCAATGTTACTTGAACATCGGCCTGGATTACGAAATGAGTTCAAAGCCAATCTCAACTGCAGTGAAACCTTGTCTCAAAAAAGAAAAAAGAAAAGGGAGATGGCTCAGTAGAATAAGAGCTTGCCGGGCGCTTTAAAAAAAAAAAAAAAACCTAGGAAACAAAACCAAACACCCTAGTGTGAAATACCTTCTTTCTCGAGCATATGATTCCCTCTTGCCTTCCATTTCTGCTTGTTTGGCCAGCAAGGCAGCAGCTCTGGCAGCCTCTACTTCTTCTTTTGTCTTTGCAAAACGAGCAGCTCTTTCCGCACGATCCTTTTAATTAAAACATCTTCAGGTAAGTATCTTTCACTGCCAGAATTATGGATTCACACACTTTCAACATAAGAAACGAATATACATGAAATCTCTTCAATCCATGTGATATTTAGTCAGCCTGAATCTGATTGTCATCAACTGTGTCAGGAACCACTCATTATTAGACAAACAAGGACACGAATTTGCTCACTACTCTAGAGCTTGGAACAAGGCCTATCACATAGTAGATGCTTAATAAATATGTGCTAATTGAACAATCAATAAATATTAGAGTAAGTGTAGTATTTACATGTATTCTAACTGAATTCTTTTTTTTTTTTTTTTTAAATTTTTTTTTATTTATTTGTGTGTGTGTGTATGGCCAGCTCAGCCCACCAGGGGGCGGGGCTGGCCGGCATGTGGTGCTGGGGGATTGAACCGTGGTCCCTGTGCTTTGCTGAGCTTGTTCCAAGTAGGTGCTTTAGACCACTGAGCCATCTCACCAGCCCCTATTCTAACTGAATTCTAAAAAACAATTGCTACAAACCATCCTAAAGGAGGGGGAATCGTAAGCTTTATGATGTGTCTAAATCCTTTGGCTACCCCCAAATGCTTTTGATTAAAAATTATTACACAATCACATTAACAACTGTTAGCTTATTGGTAGGCAATCTTTCAAAGCTGTCTTTAGTGACAAATTCACAACAAAACATAGAAGTTTTTTATTGCTGTTGTTCCAGGGATTGAACTAGGATCTTTTGCTTGCCAGGCATGCGCTTATGCCACTAAGCTATCTCCCAGCCCAAGAAAAATAATTTATCAAAATCAGGACTGGCATTCTTTGAATCACTAAAGCCCACTATTTTTGTGTGGACTGGCTGTATCCCAAAGCCACTATCTATGGAAAAATAATTTCACAAAAAATTTTTTTAAAAAGGCTCACCAAAGCAATTTGCTGTTTTATCCGTTCTCGAGCTGCCCTATCTTCTGCCTTTTCTCTGCTTCTTTCTTCCAACATTCTTTTTGTTAATTCTTCT